AACACCAAGTAGAAAGCTGGTGCCTAGACTTGTTTTCAGCCAACTTCCCTGCTCTGTTGCCTGGGAAGTCTGCCACACTCTGTTCTTGTGAACCTGAGGATCCCAAGACCATGCTGTCTCACCTGGGGTTCCATCCTGCTCTGCCAACTGAGCACCTTAAGCCAGGGACATCCCCCACTGTAGTAGACTTCTAAACGTTTTGATTTTTTGCTCTGCTGCTTATACTTGTGGTAGCCTCCTTATTCTAGCTCCCTTGCACTGCTGTATCCTCCTATTGGATGTTGCCTTGGTTTCAACTCTCCACACCTCCTACATTCCAAAAAGTGGTTGCTTTTCCACGTGTAGAATTGCATCATTTCTTTTCTCAGATCTCCCATTGATTTGACAGGTTTTCAGAATGATTTGATAACTAGCTGAATTTCAGGGACCAGACAGATTTAGGGTCCTCTTCACCATCTTAACTCCTCTCTCTGCACACAGGATTCTTAGTGGATAGAAACTTTTATCCTGTAATGTCATGTTCTACCCTGGAAATATTCTTTGCTTTGAAGTGTATCCTTAGTGGTTGGCTTTTTCAGTTTAGCATGTTTCAAGGTTTATGTCTATTGTAGTTATGTATCAGTACTTTGTTCCTTTTTATGGCTAAATTATATTGTATTTTACAAATATATCATTTTATTTATCCATTCTTTTCTTATGACATCTAGGTTGTTTCCATCTTTTGGCTATTGTGAATATTGCTGTTAGGACATTTGTACTCAAGTTTTGAGTATTTTTTTAAATTTGGGGGACATATATACAGAAATATAATTACCACAAGTTAGGCCAAGTAGTTTCTTAGCTTATTAATTACCTATCAAGTGTCAATAATCTGATAGTTAAGCTAATTATACTGTTCTGGGATTTGGCTTTTATTTTTAAGTAGGCTCGCTGCCCAGTGTGGGGCTTGACCTCATGACCCTGAGATCAAGAGTTGCATGCTCTACCAACTGAGCCTGCGAGGTGCCACTGACAGTCAGTTCTTTAGAATATTCAAAGATTTTTAAATAGCTAATTGTACTTGGAGATTGTATTGTCTCAACTAAGGAAATAAATTTGTTTCTCCCTCATTGCAGTGTGAAGCTGCCCTGGTAAAAGGGCATGGTATATCATTTCTGCTGGGCTTCCAGGGACACCTTTAATGTGAGGAAAAAATAAAGAAGTATCATGCACCTGAAAAGAAAAGACAAATATGGAGGCAGCTCAAAACAAGTGTTATGCCCCTTCTTTTGGCATCAGACATCTCTCCCAGTGGATTCTTGAACCTGAGAAAATACAATATTCTCTTTGGAGCTGCCAAGAGGATGATTTGGAAATAAAAATGAGTGGAATTACTGGTACAAGGGAGCAAAAGGATGATCCCAAGAACGCATTCTTCTGCTTTCTCATTTCATTGGTCTTGAAAATCTGATTTATAATTACTATTGTTTTGCAAAATTGCTTGGATTAGTAGTTATAAAGTATTTGTGTGAAGGCAAAACTAAGAGAGAGAGAGAGAGAGAGAAGGGAAAAAGAAAAATGCCCACACTCTACAGTGTTAATAAGAACTGATATGCAGACATAATTTTGGATTAGGAATTCTAGTTTATTGAAAATAAATTTTATTTTGGGTGACAAAATATTTGAAGAACAGTACTGTATACTTCTGAATATTAAGAACAAATTTCTTTTAGCAACTTCTGAAAATATCCAAAACATGAGTTGAGTGGAGCTCACAGCAACAATTTTCCTTAACTATTTTAATAAATATGAATAATCATAAAAGTTCATTTGAAGGGGCACCTGGGTGGCTCAGTGGGTTAAGGCCTCTGCCTTCAGATAAGGTCATGATCTCAGGGTCCTGGGATTGAGCCCCACATCAGGCTCTCTGCTCAGCGGGCAGCCTGCTTCCTCCTCTCTCTCTCTCTCTCTGCCTGCCTCTTAAAAAAAAAAAAAAAAAAAAAGTTCATTTGAAGTATCAAAAGAAAATATGTTCAGATTTCACTATGACTATTCTACCTCCAGCAAATATTTCTGAGTGCCTAACATGTAGAGGGTCTGTTTCAGGTGGTTGAGGTTTATTATGAACAAAACATAAAAATTCCTGCCCTCAATGGAGGCTTTGAAAAATTAGCATATAGACCCTCAGTAGGCAGGCAGGCAGAAAATGGACTCTTCCAGTGTCTCTAAATGTGGCCTCCATCTGTTGGGATAAAAGCCATTACCTGGAAAGGAGATCAGCCAAGCAGGGAGAAGGAAGCATTCGTGGCTATAGCACAGACCATGGTCTCTAGCTGATAATGTACTATTACACAGAGAGGTGTTCTGTGGGCAGCAGATTAAGCCTAAATACACAATCATGGGATTTTGTCCCCTGGACTTTCAATGAATGACTGACTACCTAAGTGAATTCATTTCATTCTAGTGGGTAGATGATCTTGAACTTAATAGCAAATCCAATCATAATTCTAAAGATTACATATAAAAAGGGTTATGAGGGAGAGGATTCTAAATATATTAAGAAACTGAGAAAAAGTTTTAAGAATGAAACTTTCTTTATATTATCACCTGTTATAAAAACAGAGCAAACAGTAACCTCTTGATTATTTTCAGGGAATAGCACTAACTAGTTATTATCTTCTTTTTTGCAGATGCATCTTGGCAAGGGCATTGGCAGCTCTAGTGTGTGATGTTCCATTTCCAAAGTCCTAGGAGGTATTCTCCTTTTCCTGACTGAAACACTCTTCAGTGAAAAATTCACTATCAGGCTAGAAAGATAGAATATTTTGGCTCATATGAGTTCTATGTTAGCCCTGTTCCCCAAAAGAGGATATGCTGCTAACAGAATCTAGGGAATGGGTCATGAACAGTCTTGTGTGATATCTTTACAAAAAACAATTTAGCATATGAACATATTTAAAATCAGTAGGAAAGGGTGAATTATCAAATGGCATGTGGAATTGGATATTAATACAGAAGGCGAAAAATGTAGATTCTTAGGTCAAATGACATCAAAGGAAGCACTGGTATACCATGTACATTTTACACCTGAGGCTTGTGTCCTTTTTATCTTGCAGTTAAGATGGTGGTTACTTTGCTCTGTCAGTATAATGATGGATCCAGGTAGCAATGTTGACAATCAGGATAGCGGAGTCTTGCTCAACAGCTTGATTCCAGTTATCATTATCATAGAATAGTTACTTAACAAGGGCATCTAGTTTAACAACTCAGGTGTGCTTATTAGCAGCTGACTCCCCCTACCCCCCACAGTTCACAGCACCAAAGAGGAGTGCTTTTGTCAACCTGTAGTTTTACTACCAGTGTGTCAAACAGTGAGGCACAATAAGAACCAGAATCAATAAAAATGCCACAAGTTTCAAATGGAGTATTTGCCAGTGTTGAGAACATCCTTGTGTCCTGCCAATTGAAAGGAGCAGCCACATAATTTTTGGGGTCTGCATAATCAATTCTGGGGTCTTCAAGGTTGAAGAGTCAGTGTTCAGTGATTCCCACTAGCCTGTCAGTGAACCAGGCCCAATTAGAGTAACTTCTATGAATTGAGGGCCCTATTAAGCCAGCAGCTTTGCTTCAGGCAAGAGTGGGGGATACATTTCCTTGTAAGGGGCAGCTGCTGCAATGTGATATACAGCTGAGATACTGCTGGGACCAGGGCAGCTATATTCTTAAGTATACCATGTACATTTTACACCTGAGGCTTGTGTCCTTTTTATCTTGTTAGGCAGTTGAGCCCAAGAGTAAGCTAACAGCTGCTTTACAAAAGGAGTATACTTGGTAGCCTTGTTAGGGTATCAAGTCAAACTACCCTTCTCCCTGACCCCAAGGGCATCTCCTTTTGCCAGAAATTCCAATCAACAGAATGACTATTTACAGAGACTGAAGCACAAAGTGGTCATTATAGGCTGTGGAACCTCAAAGGTATCTTCTTAACACACAATTCTGACTAGAAGAATCCCTTCTGAATTATGGGGAGTAGGAAGTATAACATATAACACATTCCTATTACACTTTCAGATTTAGAAGTAACCACAGTATACTGCACTGGTCAAAAGGGCCCCATTTATTCACAGGCTCACATTCATTTCCCTTGCCTACTGTAACCCCTGCCCTAATAACATTTTTTTAAATCTAGATACTCCCTACCTCCATGTGAAGTGGTAAGATGTTGATTTGGGCACCTGTATCCCATAAAGTCGTAAGTTTGAGCCCCTTTCCTCTCTCAAAGTTCCCCCAAATACTTGGGTGGGTGCCAATGGCCATGGGTCCCCACTGGAGACAGGAAGCTTTCCCTTAAAACAGCTGATGTTGGGGTATATGGAGGTATGAGTGGCTTCATGACATTAAAGAAACATTTACTTTACTTGCACGAGGTGTGCTCACATTTCAGCCAAAAATCTTCCAATAATTTAAGTTCATCGAAAGCCCTGTAACAGGTGGTATCATCTATTTCATTACATTGAAAGGAGATTTTTAAAAAACTGAATTCTCTGATGATCTTTTAGGGATTCCTCACAACACCAACCCTTTAATAAGTGTTGTACCCACTGACTGATGTAAGCTTGGCTTACATAATAACTTTCTACCTCCCCAGCAGAGGGATGGCTAAATTATGTTCAAAAGGGAACAGACTTAAACATGTAAGAGCTCAATATTATCAAGCTTACTGCTCGATCACAAAATGTTCAAAAGGTAAAGATGTGAATGAGAATTTTGTTCCACATATTTCAGGCACCCTGGCTGTTACTGTGTAAAAGCTGTGCCATGTTAAAGCATGATACTTTACAACTTCAAGGCTATTCTGACAGCATCCTAGTAGTGTCAGTGAGGTCTTTTGTCACAAATGATTGTGGCATAAAACATGAGCATCCACAGTCCAAAGACCTACATGGAGGAAAGGGAGACCAGGAAATTTTCTGAGTTATCTAAAGGGCATGGCTTCTTTCAAAAGGGCTTTGAAATATCAGCCTATGTCTATTCTCTGATAGACTTTCAGGGTTGCTTTTTGGATAAAATTCCTCCTACATTCATATTTATATGTGTGGGTTTTCTGGAGTCAAATGGCTTGGTCTTCCAGACAGAAGGATTTTTCCATATTTATTATTATCAATAGGGTTTTCCCTCTCCCTGAATTTTCTGGCAAACATTTAGAGTTGACTTCTTATAAAATTTTCCAAGTTCATTACATTCATAAGATTTTTCCTCACTGTGAATTCTCTGATGTATTCTGAGGTTTGATTTCTGGCCAAAACTTTTCCCACATTTGTTACACTGAAAAGGTTTCTCCCCTGTATGAACTCTCTGATGATCACTAAGGATTGCCTTCCGGACAAATTTTTTCCCACATTCATTACACTTAAATGGTTTCTCCCCAGTATGAATCCTCTGATGAACTCTAAGGGTTGATGTCCGGGCAAAAGTTTTCCCACACTCATTACATTTAAATGGTTTCTCTCCTGTGTGTGTTTTCTGATGTTGAATGAGATGGTCTTTTCGCCAGAAGGATTTTTCACATTCATTACATTGATATGTTTTCTCACCACCGTGAGTTCTCTGATGTATCCTGAGGTTTGATTTCTGACCGAAAGTCTTCCCACATTCATTACACTGAAAGGATTTCTCCCCTGTGTGAATTCTATGATGATCTCTGAGGGTTGACTTTTGAACAAAAGTTTTCCCACATTCACTACACTTATAGGGTTTCTCTCCTGTATGAATTCTCTGATGTCCCCTGAGGGTTGACTTCTGGACAAATGTCTTCCCACATTCATTACACTTATAGGGTTTCTCTGCTGTGTGAATTCTCCGATGTGTACTAAGGTGTGACTTCTGGGAGAAAGTTTTTCCACATTCATTACATTCAAATGGTTTCTCTCCTGTGTGAGTTCTTTGATGCTGAATGAGATGTCCTTTTTGAAAGAAGGATTTACCACATTCATTACATTTATAGGGTTTTGTCTCAGAGTGAGTTCTCCGGCGTACTTTGTGGGCTAACACCTGGTAGGATTTCCTATTTTCATGATAGTCAAAGGATGTATCCCCAGTTTGTGTTCTGTCATTACATACCAATGGGTTCTCTTCCGTGACAATTCTCTGAAGTTGAGTGAGGTGTGACTTCCTGTTGAAATTATTTCCATTTGCATTATATCCATTATGTTTCACAGGCATGTTAAACTTACTGTATTCCTTGACAGCTGATTTCCCACAGAAGGATTTCCCACACTGATTAAGAGGAGAGTATTTCTCCCCAATCCCAGTTCTTTTATAGTCAAAGACAGTTATTTTTTCACTTTTCCCCCTAAATTCATCATCTTTATAGGATTTTTCTCTTGTATGCATACTCTTACATGTAATACAAGCAGCCTCATCATAGATGGCTTTTCCAGTTCCAACATATTTAAAAGCTTGTTCCAAAGTTTGACACTTTTGATTCTCAGGAAGATTTTCCTTATAACTGAGAGCTTTTCCATTTTTATTATATTCATGAAACTCCTCTCCAGTATGAGTTCTCTCAAACTTAATTTTGAAAGACAAATTTTCACATACACTATAGCAATTTGGTTTTTTTGTTGGATAGGTTCTATTCTTGATGATAAATTGGGAAATATTTTGCAAATTTACTCCCCATGAGTCATATTTACAGGATATTTTTGTTGAAACAGGAGCTATGCACAGATTAAACTGTTTCCCCAAAACTTCCTCTTCTTTTATAGTCAATGGTTTATTATTGATGAATATTATTTCCTGCAAGTGTTTATCTTGGATTTTCTTGTTCCTCTTCATCAGGTCATCATCTCTGTAATCTTCTAAAACAGAGATAAATTGAAGACACCTTATAAACCTTACATTTGTTATGGGTGGGAAATATATAGCCTATCCATTGCATTTCATTTATTGTTTTTCCAAGATCAAATAATTTATGTGTGTGTGTATCCTCATCCTCCTTTAACCAACTGAGCCACCCAGGTACCCCTCTCTCACCCTCCTTTAAAAAAACAATATTGATATAGTGGAAATGAGAGAGAAAACTGGTAATACATACATATCTGTATCTGGATTGTGATAAATTGCATTTTCCTATTGGGGTGGAGAAAGAATAGAAGTAAGACTTTTACTGGAGTGGTTAATTTAGGGAACAGGAAAACCAGATAATGGGATGAACACAATGGGACTATATAAACTTAAGTACAGTAACAGAAGAATTAGGAGATAATGAACACTGATAGACTAGGCCCAACAGGGGAAGAGTTTGCTTTGAGGAAATATATTACACTCCTACACACCTAGGCTATACCGATAGAATACTCAATTTGCTATTCCTTATTTCCATTCAATTCTTCAACATCAAATCAAAATTGATAGTACAACCTTCCTCACAATTAAATGAAGAAGTTTATAGTTCAGGATCTAACCCATCTTATAGCCATAAGTCACAGAAATACAAACAAGTGTAAAACTGATAAAAGGAAATCTATTCTTGCAACTAAATTAGATTCACTGCTCAATTCCTGCTGTGGAACCTTTATTTTATCAAAACTGAATGGTTAAGTCAGAATGGCTAAAATTAACAAGTCAGGAAACAACAGGTGTTGGTGAAGATATGGAGAAAAGGAACCCTCCTACATAGTTGGTGGGAATGCAAGCTGCTGTAGCCACTCTGGAAAACAGTATTTTTTCCTCAAAAAGTTGAAAATAGAGCTACCCTATAACCCAGCAATTACACTACTGGGTACTTACCCCAAAGATACAAGTAGTGATCCAAAGGGGCACGTGCACCCCAATATTTATAGCAGCAATGTCCACAATAGCCAAACTATGGAAAGAAGCTAGATGTCAATCAACAGATGAATGGACAAAGAAGATGTGGTGTATACACACACACACACACACACACACACACACACAATGGAATGCCATGCAGCCATCAAAAAAACCTGAAATCTTGCCATTTGCAACAATATGGATGGAACTAGAGGGTGTTATGCTAAGTCAAATATGTCAATCAGAAAAAGACAATTATCATTATGATCTCACTGATATGAGGAACTTGAGAAATAATACAGAGGATTATACAGGAAGGGAGGGAAAAAATGAAACAAGATGAAACCAGAGGGAGACAAACCATAAAAGACTCTTAATCTCAGGAAACAAACTGAGGGTTGCTGGAGGGGAGGAAGGTAGGAGGGATGGAGTGGCTGGGTGATGGACACTGGGGAGGGTATGTGCTATGGTGAGTGCTGTGAATTGTGTAAGACTGGTGAATCACACACCTGTACCCCTGAAACAAATTAATACATTATATGTTAGTACAAAAAATTGAATGGTGGGGCACCTGGGTGGCTCAGTGGGTTAAAGCCTCTGCCTTCGGCTCAGGTCATGATCCCAGGGTCCTGGGATCGAGTCCCACATCGGGCTCTCTGCTCAGCGGGGAGCCTGCTTCCTCCTCTCTCTCTCTGCCTGCCTCTCTGCCTACTTGCGATCTCTGTCAAATAAATTAATAAAATCTTAAAAAAAAAAATTGAATGGTAAGTGAACTTAATCACTTCATCCTAAACTTCCACATTTCAATTTGACATGAGGGGTATATGTATTTTATGTATGCATGTATGTATGTAAGCTCTATGCCCAATGTGGGACTTGAACTCATGACCTTGAGATCAAGAGTTGCATACTCTACTGACTGAGCCAGTGAGGTGCCCCAAGGGGTGTGATTTTAAATGGGGTATCACGGAAGGCCTTGCTGCAAAGATGGCACTCAAAAAAGGTCCAAATCATTTATGCATTCTAGATGGCTGTCCTTTGAAGGTTTTATGAGTTGTAAATACCATCCTCTATCTTTGGTTCATCTCTTCACTCTCTTAAGTATGAAACATAATTTATATCTGCATAAAACTTATATATACCGTTTAACAGTACTGAGTGAACACTAGTATAATTAGAAACCATGTCAATCTGAAATCAATACTACGCTGTATGTTAACTAACATGAATTAAAAAAAAAAAAAAGAAACCATGTCAAGAAACAGAAAACAAAAATGGCTCTGCAAAAATCCCTACTTATCTCTGCCCAGTTACAACTCCTTCACGCTTAAGAATTCACTACTCTTGGGGCGCCTGGGTGGCTCAGTGGGTTAAAGCCTCTGCCTTCGGCTCGGGTCATGATCCAGGGTCCTGGGATCGAGCCCCGCATCGGGCTCTCTGCTCAGCAGGGAGCCTGCTTCCTCCTCTCTCTCTGCCTGCCTCTCTGCCTACTTGTGATCTGTCTGTCAAATAAATAAATAAAAATCTTAAAAAAAAAAAAAGAATTCACTACTCTTTTAATATTTATATAATTGTTTCCTTGATTTTCTTTGTGTGGTTTTACCATCAACATATGAATTCCTAAAGATATAACTGAGTTTTGAATTTCTGACATTTAATAAATGCAACCAGACATGCATATTTATATTATTTGGTTTCTTTTGCTTAAGATTATATATTGAATTATCCCTTAAGGAATACAACTCTTTCTTTATTTTACTGCTGATGAGCCCAATTTTTAATACAAACAAACAATACTGCCATAAGTAAATATTGTTTTATTCATCCTAGGGAATATAATCATGCCTTTCTGTAGGGTCTATAGTTAGGAAAGGAATTCCTTAGTTACAAATTATGAAAACTTTAACCTGATCTGATAACTTTTTCCATCAGTAGGTAAGATCCTTTAATAGTTTACATCCTCATCAGGACTTTGCCAAACTTGTTAAAGTCACATCATACCATGTGTCTCTCATCTCACTTTGTATTTTACTTTGCATTCCATGAAAGCTAATGAGAGACTGAACACATTTTCAAGGATTTAATGGCCATTTAAAAGTTCCTGTTCAGTCTTTTGCTTATTTTTCAATTGGGATGTCACCTTTTCCTACGTTGACTTATAGAAGTTTTTACATTTTTACAATACTTATCCTTTCCAGGTTACTTGTATTATACACATATTCTGCTTCTTTATGGCTTGTCTTCTCATCTTTTTAACAGTATATTTTATAAACAAAGTTCTCAATTTTAATGTAGTCAAGTTTATTAATCATTTTCTTTTTACTGGTGCTTTTTTTTGCCTTCGAGCCTAAAAGAAAAGTCTTGAAATACAAAGGTGTTTAACGCCAAACTGACCTTCTGGAGTCTTAAATACCCCAAGAGAATTCTGTCTGCTAGTGCTCAGGAACTCACCTCGGTGGCTCTGGTTTGAGAATTCTTCCTCTAAGAACCAAGGCTCCTCTCCTTGCTCCAACTTGAAGATTACTGCTGGTTTGAAAATGCAGTTCCCTGTAAATAGGGAACAATGGTGTATTTAGGATGGATGATGAGCTTTTTAGTTTCCAGAGCGTTAAAAGATATAGCTTCAGAAGCAGCACCCTGAAGACCCTGATTTGAACTTATTATGGCAAGTCATCAAAACACTTCTTTTATTCCTCAAAAGGGCTTAATTTTATACTCTGAATGAAATGTCTCAATAACATTAAAATCTAAATAAAATATTCATGTGTATTGATGCATAAAAAGTAAATGCCTTTTATTTGCTGTGATGAGGGTAAGTTACACTTAAACGCTCACCCACTGAGACGAGGTTGTTGTAGTTCTCCAGCATCACATCTCTATACAGAGTCCTCTGAATAGGACCCATTTGCTGCCATTCCTCTTGGGTGAATTCCACAGTCACGTCCTTGAATGACACAGATGCCTGCAACAGGACACTTCTGCTCAATCTGAAGGGTTCAGAATTAGTTGACAGAGAAAATATCCCTAAAAACAATTCTTATGCTCACTCTAAAGAGTTTAAAACAAATGAATACAAAGGATACAAACAAACAATACTGCCATAAGTAAATATTGTTTTATTCATCCTAGGGAATATAATCATGCCTTTCTGTAGGGTCTATAGTTAGGAAAGGAATTCCTTAGTTACAAATTATGAAAACTTTAACCTGATCTGAT